TTCTTACTTCTTCTTCCTCTTCTTCTTGTCGTCCGGAATCCCATTCGTTTTGCACGTAGTGCTTGTTATTCCTAGTTAGGTGCTTTCCTCATGTCCTTTTCCTTTCAAATTTCATAGGCATAGTCTCTAACATCTCATCAAGGTCACTACATTCTTCGATTCTCGAAATCACTCATGCATAACCGTCCAGGCGCCATTTTGTCCGTGTCTGGTCCATTTTAAGGCCTTTCTTTCTTTCTTCCTGTCTCCACTATCCTAGATCCTACATCCTTCTAACAAATTCCTCTAGATAGTCTGAGAGATGTTCTTTCATCTGCGACGTATGACTTGACCTTCAAAATGCCATCTTTATACTCGAAATTCAAATCTAAAACCGACTCCGTCAAAAATCTCTCAAGTTCTTGAAAAATGGACCCCTAAATAATCTAAAACTGCCATAACTTTCTCATATAAATTCCGTTTTGTATTTAAATCTCACAGTATCTTTATCTCATAATTGCACATAGCCATGCCAAATTTCACGCTCCAATGGCTTTGCACAACATAAATAGCGCCCTCTAAAGTTCTGGGAATTGGCTTTCTCTCTGTGGCCGTATCTCCATAATGGCTTGGCAAACCCGTACCCTTTTTTGGATTTAGATACTTGAAGATATGCCCTTTCCAGCCATATACAAAATTATATACCCTATCACTGACCAAATTTGAGAAAATTGCCCTCCAAATTCGCCATTTTCAAGAAAATTGAGAAATAACTTCAACTTGCTCTAAAATGGCGATCGTTATACCTACATCAATGAAACTTGGCAGACATATGTATCCATATACGTGACAACTGTTTACCAAGTTTGGTAAAATTCAAATATGTCAGCGCAAAGTTATCGCCAAAAATGATGTATTTACTATGGATTACGTAATAGCGCGTTCAATGCGCGCAATACATTGCGCGCAGTTAACAATGGTGTCAAACTGACCGCAATGAAGAGCCCTTTCGGATGATACCAAGTATTATATATGTTCACACAGAAAATTGTGAGTAAATCGCATTTGAACAAAGATCACTACACGAATTCCGCCGAGTTTCCGCCCGAACCTAACACGTTTCGGCTATGACGTCATTTTTTCAGACTGCTTTTCGCCCCTTAAACGTCTTTTTTTTTCCTTGAAAATTTGCAGTGACATGCCGAGTTCCAATACGCAGGGCACCTCTTGGCCGGATTTTTTAAATTGGTCAAGGGGGCCATTTAAGACGCCATTTTGTCCTATACATCTATTTTACATCACGTGTTTCGATAGGATTATCATAGAAAAAAAGAGAGTAGTTTACAATAACAACCATGAAATTCTCTTTCTAATGATACCAAATACGGCCCATAAAGAGACGTAAAGAGAGAGAGAAAAAACAATTTAACTCCGGCCATAATACAGATCCTGCACGTTTTCCGCCCATTCATTACACGCATTGTCTATGGGGCATATCGGGTTCACGCTTTTGGCCCCCACAACGAACTTGATTGCAATGTCAAACATGCACCAAATCCCATTGGTTTGTGCACGCAGTGCTTGCGAGCCCTTTCTAGGTTCTTTCCCCTATCCCAATTTCTTTCAAACTTCGTAGGCATAGTACCATCCCATCAAGGTCACTGTTGATGCCTTTCTTTCGCCCTACCTATCTCCAATATCACAGAAGCTACAGACTTCGTGCAAATTGCTCTGGATAGTCCGAGAGAAGCTCTTTCGTTTGACACGTAGACACACGGCGTCATTGCACGCACATCGTTCTGACACGATTGCATTTCTAGTTTTGATCATTATTATGATTCCATCGTACATTTTATAGAGTATAATACTGGCTATTACAATCAGTCCAGCTCTAAGAATCATAAATGAAGGAAACCCTCACTCCAGCTCTCTGAATGTGATTTATTCAAATGGTCTAATATTATATAGCCTACATGTATATTCGGACCTGCAATCAAGATGGATGAAATTGAAATATATTCTATTGACAGATTCATGATCTAGTATGAAGACAGACTATATTATACCAAGATATACCATATTTCAAAGTTAGTTGTGAGATATTGTGATAACTGACCCATGCAGGCTTGATTTATTGCTTCATGAAATATCATCTGCTTCGTTAAGATCAACATGAAGATAGATTTTCAGACAAAAATGCAGAGCGGTTCCCCCTTGGGACATCAACCTGTTTGGTTGTTCAATGATTAGCCTAGTCCCAGGATGGATGAGGAATCCTCTACCGGAGTAATGACAACAGAATGGGGGTAAGGTTATAGCCCCTGCTCAATCACCCCTTACACACCCCTAGGTCAATGTTAAAGAAACTTCACTTTGCACGGTCAGTGGTTCTAGGGCCAGGTTCACCTCTCCTCCATCCCTCCTCCACCCTCCTCCTCCTCCTCCTATTCCTCCCTATCTTTCTGTGCCAGTGTGGTCTGGCTTGCTGACATACATGTGCTCACACACTTTCAAGAGTTTTTTTTAACCATAAACCAGTTATGTCTTTCTGTATATACCGTACAGATTTTTTCCTCTCCCAAACATTATTCAAGAAAAAGGAAATCCATAATAAGACAGGAGAAAAAAATTCTCTTCTAAAGTCATAGAAAAAAAATCCCACATATTTTTGTCATCATTAGCATATAATACCAAGGCTTATAGTTTGCATCATCTTTCATTGATTAAAGCTAAAGACCAGTTATGGTCATGCGATTGCATTGTGAAAGAAACGTTGATCATCTAGCATAGATGTACTGCAAGGTTCTGGAATCATCAAAATGATAAGAAATTTGGCCAAGTCTTCATAAAGTTAGAAGCACTGTACACAGAAAGATGTATATAGGACTACACACACGTGCGCGACACATGCATTTCATATCTCTCAACAGGCGAGAGATACACTAATTTACCAAATTTATCAATTAGAAGCGGTTTCCCGTCAAAATTGTTATCATCATGTATTATTCAAAACATATTCTTTCACATGATTGGTAATAAGAGCTTCCATTTCATCTTTGAAATTGGGGCGTTTCCAATACTGGTCTTTACCTTTAACATTTGCTGTATACTTTTTTAATTTCTCAATAAGCTATTTCATTTTATTCACCCTTAAAATTAAATCTTTCCAAATTGTTTACTCTGTGCTCATAAGAATGTGAATGCAAAATATGGACTTGACTCAGAATGACAGTGAGTTGAGAAAGTTTTCATATGGTACAAATCATTTTTTCGGGGGGGGGGGGGGGGGGTGGGAGGGGGAGGGGGAGGGGGGGGGGGGAGGGGTTATGTATGAAACAGAGCCCATGATGCATTAGATGTTTTCCGATTTAGGGTGCTTTGGAGTAAGTTCAACATCCTTCTAGTAACAATAATCAGAGTGTCAGTCTCCTGTGTGGGATGCCATCTCGCTCGGGTTGGAGTCCAGGCATTTGTTTATCTCATTTTTCTTCTGGAGGCGTCAATTCCATCCGTCATAATATCTATTATGAGTGGCATTGCCGGAAGGGACTTCCATTGGCGGCTCTTTACCCCATCTAATTAGTCAGCGAAGCCCTTCTCTTTTTTGATGGGCTAACTTTGGAGCCAGTTCCATTGTCGAGGGTTGGGCCTAGCCTAATGATGGTACTGTGCTGGATCCATTACATTACTTTTGTATGATTTCATCAACTTATCCCACACTAGTTGTAGAATGATGGCTTGCTTTAAGCATGTCTAGACAGCAGCATAGAGCGGGCGGGCAAACTATGTTTTCATCAAGAAGAATCTAACCAATTCACTCAATAATTTTAAACATGGAATGAAAGTATCGCAAGCCAGCCTTGGAAATGTGCTGAAGGATAAGAAGTGTTTTTCCTCCCAGCATTCTTTTTCTAAATTTTCTTTGAGATGATGGAAACAACATGGTGGAAGTGGGTGTCTGTTTTAGTAGTGGGCGGTTCCTTTGAGCGAGTTGCCCTCCTTTCTCTCTCGCCAGTGTTCTAATCTCTCTTCTTCTACTCCAAACCCAACCCTCTACCGCTCCCAGCACATTTGTGTGCCAAACCCTCAGAGGTCATTAGACTCGGAGGGGTGGAAACCCAGCGCTAAGCCGTCCTGAAAGGGGCTTGAAGCACTCAGCTTCGCTTTAGCCTAGATGCTTCTTAATACAAGGGGTAAAGCTATCTTTTATGCATTGATTATGCCGCAGCTTTGATCCTCTTCTTCAAGTGTTTTTCACCTGTGCTTTGTAAACTAAGTGACTGTTTACACCCCGTCTGGAGAGGAGGGAAGGAAGGACCCTGTTTGAGAAACTCTCATTGTCTTCCTCCAGTGTTTGGATATGTAGTTACATACAAACTTGCCGCGGTCGGTATTGGATACATTTTCTCTGGATCGAATCGTGTCCAATCTTTTTCCTTCTGAGTTTTGTAGCAGGGTTTTACTAAAAGCCCACTAACCCAAGAGGTTTTAATTCTTCATGAATGTGATCACAAAGAGCATACGTTCATCTCTCGGTTACCAAGCTACGAAGCTTTTATGGGAAATGTAAAAGACTGGATCCTTGTTTGTGCAGCCGAATTGTAAGCCATCTGGAATGCTCCTCTATTGAGGAACCACTAGAGCTGAATAGGTACGGACAGGCACTTGAATAGCTTGATAACATCTTCACTCAAATTTCCTGAATCACTTTTCTCAACTTTGTGACGAGACAAAACATTTTTATAACCCCTGCTTTCTCTCCCTTGCTCTCTCTAGCTCTCTCCTTCTCTCTTTCTATCTCTTTCTTTATTGCTGTACTTTCAACTCAAGGCTCTATTCGTTGATTGAATTGTCATGAGTTCCTTTTAAGACCCGGTCTCCAAACAAAAGATGCTGCAATGGTATTAGCCTAAGGAGCGTTGCAGGAACAGTGTACTGTACCACCAACCTTTATACAGCATAGGTACATCGTCTCTGCAGTCAGTTAGTTATTAGAGAGTGTACTGCAGAGAGTAGACAGGGCAGTCTCTTATCGTCTTCTTGTGACAAATTGATAGAATATTACCTGTTATCTGTGTTGAGTCGTGGTAGAACATATATACATTGTTGATGGGCCTCAATGCCAGTTATCTCCCCCACAAATGACATCCATGGAATACTTTCTGCTGTGGAGTTATGCTGAATCTATCTGTCAGTCAAACGTGGGTTTATCAAGAGACGTGTCACTTTGAATCAAGCCGCCGGTGAAAAACGACAGCATCTTGCAACTGTGTCTTCCATACTGCAGATGATAGTGATGATGATGAGCTGTGTGATCTAATGTGAGATTGTGACATCAGGCAACATTTCTTCATATTGTGATTACAAAGGACAAAACTGATTCAAATTGGACCTGACAGTTATAAACAATCGTACATTTCATATCAATTTGCAGGAACTACATTCGCTTCATGTAGGCCTCTTTAGAGTCGGACATGATGCTATTCTGGAACTTTGGAAAATAAGTTTATGTTTATTGGAATGAACTTTCCTGCTCCCATCCTGCCCTTTGTGGGGAACTTTTCATCTTGAATTCTGTCAAATGTCGCTGTCAGGGGCAGCTGGTCTTGTCTGGAAAATGAAAGAGTCTAAACCCTCTTCTAAGTGCAGTAACCGCATCTCGTGTTTGCTCTATTGTATTTGAAGGAAAAATTATCCTAACTGGCCACCTGGCTGCTCGCGCCGAATGTCAAGACTTTGAATCTTGTCCGAGTTTGACATCTCCATCTACCCTCAGCCAGACATCTTCATTTTGAATAGCCCAAGCCAAAGACAGACAGAGAGGAAAGCACTTTTACTTGCAAGTCTTCAGTTGGACGTCTGGAGGTTGCCGGACATACACGTTTCAGCATTCAAGCTAGCATTGTTTGTGGGGTTGATGTAAATGAAAATCTGTTGAGCCTGTCAAACAGTTGAACTGACTTGACTCTACCATGGAGATTACAGGAATCTATCGATGGATTATTGTCCATCTCTTACTAGTCCACACATTCTATCCTCCTGTGCTTTCAGATAGGTAAGTAATTGAGGATAATATATCAGTCCAATTTCAGAATAAGAGTCGAATTTTGCTCTCTTTCTGAATGGCTATCTAAAAATATCATATTGGAAGTTAGTTGAACATTCTCAGTAAAATCCAGTTTGATAATATTTGGTATACAATAATGAATATTACAGGATGTAACAATAATCTTGAAGATAGGCTTTCTGCACAGTACACACACTACAGCTCTTTCATGTAAAGCATGTTTAGGAAGTTAAAGTGAAATTACTTACATTGCATTATGTATAAATATTAAAGCAAATTACTCATGGATATTTAGCAGCCAAGACCAAATACCTTACAGGCTACAAAGCTAATCTCTAATCATATTTTAAGGGCATCTCCTCAGGATTTATAATTTATGCCATCACCATTATGTAAAAGATAGTGAACTGTATGCAGGCATTTGGTAATGTGTTAGATTGCTTTGATTGAGATTGGGAAGTGAAAATGCCATGCGAGATCTTCCATCTCAGCTTGCTCACAGAGATCTGATATTCCTGTCATTTATTTAAAGTAAAGAGGTTGAAATGAGGAGACAGATTCATTGAGATGGATTAGATTTGGACATGTTCATCTGTCTGTCTGTCTCTGTATCTGAGATCATGTCTGTATCATGCGCCTTTAGCACTCCACAGAGTGGATTTGGCGCTATATTATCGTTATCTTTCTTATCCCTTTTTCTCTATCTCTGCCTTTATCTCCTTCGTCTCTCTTTCTACCCTGTTCAAGTTTTTGTTGTGATACTAATTTGATGTTGGTACCATGGCACAATATTTCTCTTTTTAAAGACATGAGGTGATAGCAGGAGATTATATGATAATTGTCTGGCAAATTTTCACAACTAGAAAATGAAAGATTTCTTACTTTTGCTTTACTTGAGGGACTGATTTGAAAGTGAGAGAATGCACATAATATTGAATAATTTATGTAGGAAAGATAATAAACTTTTTGTTTGTTTTTGGGGTGAACATCTTTGTAAATAATCATTTTGTATATGATCAAATTCCTAATTAAAAAAAAACTTTGAAGGGTAATTTGAAATATAACATACAACACTTGTAATAGTAACTTGTGGATTAAGAAAAAAAATTAATCAATTGGCTACTGGAACCATTTTGTTCATATGTATCAAGCCTCTGGGAGTAAGATAATTTAGTAGTCAGTAGGATAATGAAACTATTTCACCCTTTCATTATGATTTGATGATTTATGGAAATCTTATTTTCATCTCAATGTTGAAATTGAACAGTACTGCTTATTTTTATAATAAAATTGCTAACAAACATGATTCACACTTGAATGGTGAATGAGGCTGGTCACTTGGTGAGCTGGTGTTAGCATGATAATGGAGATTTAAAATTCATCATTTTACCACTTATGTAAAGCCCTAAAATACTTTTTGATAAATGGAATTATTCCCATATTCAGCTTTTAATCACAGTATTCAGTATGCTCTTACAAATGATGAGGAAGACCGTCGTAGAATCATCTGTACACCATGGGCCTCAAATATTATTCACAAGGTTACTGTTTCCCATGGGCTAGTATGGTGCTTGCAAGAATTATTTCCATCTGTAATATGTCCATGTGTACTTCAATTCACAGCTTCAGAGAGAAAACCTGCAGTGAAGTTAAAGGTTATTGGTTTTAGCCTCCAGCCCCCAATCTAATGAATATGGATGTAACTCCTGAATTTTACCGAAGAAAATGAAATAAAAAGCGAGGTATATAGAAGGAAATCCTCTGCAATGGATGAAATCGATAGACCATTTCGGCCAAGCCAAAGCTGGAATCTTATCTTTACTTATCCTGCAGGTCTGCGAAATCCCAAACTTCCTTCATAGAATCTAGAACCCGGGCCCCTCTGGGCGTTTTGCCACGATAGCGGCCATCGCTATTTACCGCTTATAGACCGCTCCACGCTTCATATTCACCCCACTGTCCCAATCGCCCTACCGACATTTACTCTTGGATATCATTTTTCATGTAGTTGGCGTTATGGCCATGGTGTGAGTGTGTCTCAGGGACAAAGGGTGTCCACCGAGACCCTATTGTAGCTGCCGTTGCGCCCCAGAGGCCCAGGGAGGGGGGAAGGTGGAGGATGGAGATGGAGAGGAAAATCTGATTTAGAAATTATCACTTGTGCATCGTCCATAATTAAATGACCAGCGTGGTTCTGGGCGAATGGTCAAATGTGAAAATGTGAAAAGCCTATTAAGCTCAGGAATTAGCATTACGTTAGGATTTAGCCTATGCTTTAGCTCTATAAATATGGTTACTGGTATGAATTTAGGTGACCGTGATGTATATCTGCGTTTGACCTAGATTTTGAATTTGATTGTATGTCCGCATACTCTTCAGAATTAAGAATACTAATACTCTTTTGTACTGCCAGTCACCCTTGTTGATCACCCGGCCATTTGAGGGAGGAAGAGAGAGAGAGAGAGAAAGAGAGAGTGCACATTAGCATTTTGTGCAGTTGCCTATTTAAAAAAACTCTCCAATGAAACATTTCTTGTCAATGAAATTTATGTTTGTTGTTTGGTCTTTATCTAACTTGGGTGGCCTCGCTAATGTAGATCAGACATCTCTTATCATTCCCATTCTGTTTAATTCCACTGAGGAACATCATACTGACATACTCATTTATTCATCATAAGTCAGGTTCACATGACAGACCATTTTGTTTAAATACACTGAGGAACATCATACTGACATACTCATTTATTCATCATAAGTCAGGTTCACACGACAGACCGTCAATATGAAGTTAAAGTTGTGGTTGTAAACTTCAAAGTCATCTCATAGTTAGGGACCGTGTAGACGCACTCGTCATATTTTAAGTTAACTTGACGTTTATAACCACGACAGAGAGATAACTACCTGAAGCAAGGAGGAGGGGGGGGGGGGGGGTCCTTACTTAAAGTTATGTGCCGTGTGGACACAGTTAACTTTGAGGTTTTCTTGCTAGCTTTTAGTTGAAATGAATGCTTTCCCTAGCTTGTAGTTAACTTTGAATACTTGTTGTTTCAGTCCTGTGTGAACCCTCGTCGTGGTTAGTGAATCATTGTTTATGACTTTAAAGTTTCGGAAACTCAAAGTTTATAAGTACGATGGTACCGTCTGAACCTGAATGTAGCTTCCATTATGAAATCAGACACTAGAGAATCATAAATGATTTTTAGATGAGGCCTCTTGCAGAGTCTATGAAACCTCATGGCACTGGCCACAGTCAGACAAATGAAGGGTTATTTATGTTTCCAGAATAACATGAAGACATGTTTTATTGTATCAAGCATCGTATTCTGTAATTCTATCTATTCATTTGGGATGCTCATGAGCCCACTATCTCCAAACAAATGATCTTCTACAGTTAAACTTTTAAGTTTCGTGACAAAAACTGCTTGTTCATAAAAGTTTAGGTATTACAGTTATCATTTTGTATTAATTCTTATACCTGTATGTGAATTGTTATCAAAGAGATTCCAAATTATGTGTTGCCCATTTCCCCTTATACGTATAAGTGATTATGTTCTCATCTCTATCTTCCAAGGTAAAGATAAAAGACTGAGAATTGGTATCTTGGCTATAGGAAGAATACAGCATTTTATTCTTACTTCAGTTATCTAGAATGCAGCAATATATTTGAACATTTGTATGATTAAAAAAAATAAATATATATATATTTTGAATTATTGTTATCATTATTTCTTTGGCAAGTAATCAAGTTTTGATGTAATTGTATCTTTCAGTACCACGCCCCCTCCTGGTACCCCATATATCGCCATTGATGCGCCCATGAATAATGAGACGGTGATACCGGGAGATTCTGTCACCCTCAACTGCAGGATACGAGGGTACCCCAAACCTACTTACTGGTGGTATAGGAACGATGCCATCATCAGGGACGACATCGGGAGGAACGTTGTCAGGGAGTTTAAGGGCGGATCAACGCTTACGATTAATAATGTCGGTACGCTGGATACGGGATCGTACAAGTGCATAGCTGCGAATGATAACGGGACCAAGTCGGTGCAGGGATCGATCACTCTGAATGCAAGTAAGTAGAGATCATTGAAATTAATTTTAAGAATTTAAACACTTCCCTGGACTGCTGATGGACAGCGCATAACCTAACAGGGGTTAGGGTACACTGCTGGTCAAGACTGGTAAGACCCCCGTATTCTTTAAAACTAAAATTGCCTGTTTGTATGCAGCGTTGTTATGTGACAGTCGCATACATGTTTGAATGTAGGCCTTATCATTTTGTTCATGTATGAAACATGTAGCGAAACATACATGTAAGTAATGGAGCAACTTGATTCCTCTATAATTGATATAAAAGTGGAATTGCTGAATACCGGTAGTTGAAATGACGAAATTGTGTTAAGATTTCCATTAAATGGATGTGTTATACCATTATTTTCTCTCTGCTAAAATAATCATTTCCATCACAAAATTAAGTTGTTTTGGTGAAAGAATGCAATTAAGCAGTTTCCCTATTTGCATTTTCTCTGCTTTTGTCAATCTTTACCTCAAACAAACGGAAAGTTATTTCACTTCATGACCCAAACATGGTAAACTAAAACTCAAGAATCTAACACATTCTTGCTAAGGGTACACACATTGATATAGAATGCAAACAGATTTCTGGAAGTACTTGAAAGCTGTATTCTTCAGAGTGTTCTATAACCTACATCTTGCAGGCTAATCCTATTGACAAATTTTACAAGGAATTAAATGGAGCACTGGGGATATTCTTTGTACATTCAAAGAGGAACTCTGACCCAAAAGGCTCCAATAGAGGGCTGCGTTCAGATTTTGTTCTCAGCCCAGAAATAGGCTTTTGAAAAACATTCCATTTGATACATACCAGGTAGTTGTATTCTTGTGATTCATGGGGTTTGTCAGTTGTAGGATTATATACATGAGGTCACAGGAAAAGATATGTTTTGAAATTCATTTTTCCAAAATTATGAGAGCAGTTCTGTTTTTCAAACATGTTTAAATGATGTCACAACTCTCATTGAATGATTGGTCTATATTTGTAGAACCTGATCCTGTGCCCAATGTTCATGGTTCTAGCTTAAAAAAAACCTATGAACGCAGCCTAAGAACTACTCCCGGGCTGAGGCAAGAGAAACTGTAACTGTATCTGTGTACAAAGGGGAATGGGGGAGACTGGTTCTAAGCCCCAATCAAAACACCATATACTGTACTTGTTGTTTCCTTTCATCCTGCTGGCTCTCCAGGCAAAAATAGGAGGAAAAAATTGCTTGGAACTATGAATGTATTCTGGGAGGTTGCTTGTAGTGCATTGTCAATATATATTTTTTGTTAAAGGGAGCTCATTTGGGATTTGCCATTATAAATTGGGATTGCCTGGCAGGGATTTTAAATGTGTTTTATTGGTTTTCACTAGAGCTGTTTGTGACTTTCCAGGGTTTCCATTGAGCTTTTCAAAGCACAAATAATTCTCTGTTTATATATTCTTTTGCAGTCACTTGCTCATGTATTGTATGCAGGTATTTTTTGTAACAGAGAAAACTACTGACTTGAAATTACAGGGCACTTTTTGCAGGCCCCAAAAAATGAAAAGGTTAAATTCCACCGGCATTTGAAAGATAATTCTCATTAAGAACTTCCCTAAAATAAGGGGGGCTTGAAAATATCTTTCTGATCCACAATGTTTCTTTCACAATGCAATCACATGACCAGAACTGATCAATAATTTGCCAAACATTTGTTGATCCGGATATTCTTGACTTAATTTATATTGGTTTGCTGTATTTCATAACATATCCTCCATAATTCTGATACAGATTTCCTTGAAATAACTCCCTTTTTTTCTTCTTCGATGGTGTATTTTGCAAGTAGTTGAAAGCCCAAATAAAAGTGATCATGAATGTACATACTGGTATCGGTAAGGGGAGGGTAAGGGGTGATAGATTGCAGTATCAGAGGTAGAGGAAAGTTTTAACTCACCTGTGACTGTGAGCTTCTTATATCTCAACACCTAGCCATTTGCTGGAGTTCGCCTCTCTGCAATAAAACCAAGAACTAACACATGTGGTTCGGATTGTCTAGATTACAGTTTGATTGGAAATGTTGGGTTTAAACAGAGCAATGTTTTGAAAGGTTCAAATTATGATTACAACTCTTTTCCTGGAGTACCTGTCTGGGGATTTGTGGTTGGGGGTGGAACTGTGAACATATTTTCAGCATGATTTCCATCGAATTTATGATAATTTACCGCTCAATGTCAAAAGAATTAAGAGAAGGAATGAAGGAATTTTGACTTTACATTCACAGAAACCATTTTCAAATGTCGGTCGGTCGTGTTCCTTGTTTTTATTCTAAAATCCTTGTGATATAAGAGCAGAAAACATTGAAATCCTCAATTGGGAGCCTTAACCTTAGCCTTAGTATTTGAAATATCCATCTTTATCTATCAGATTTTCACTTCAATTATTCTATTCATTTGCAATACCGGTAAATCATTTACCAAGACTAGAGCCAGACGGAAGTTAAATACCCTTTTTGCTCACATCACAAACAAAATCTTTGTGTAAATGTCAGTAAATGTCCAAAAGAACCACAGATGTCAGCCATACACCGACATTCGTAATGTAGGCTACAGGCTACATTTTTGAAGTGGCAAAGAGAGAAAGGGAGGTATGGCGTGGGGTGCTAGACTACAGTCTATTTTTGACTGGGCTAGAAAGTAAGCAAATGTCTGTTGCTAATGTATACCCCTGCAGTAACTGTGAATTGATGATCTCATTTTTCATCTGATCCTCCGTGTAAACAAAGCCCCAGTCAAGTTTATATCCTTGGGTCAGTCACCCTGCTGTGTATCTGTTTGTTTCAGCCACGGCAGGGTGAGTTCCCACTCCCTATATTTATACCGGACCTACAAATTTTACCTTCAAGAATCATAAAGGCTGTTTACCAAGAGACAAATGGCTAAAATTATTGTCACAATGCCTTTAGGAGCTATCTTTTTTAACTTCATTTTAGATCTTCATAATTACGCTGTGAGAAACTGGAAAATACAGTGAAAAGGTCATTTGAAATCACTAGGCATGGGCAATTTTATTCTCTCTCTTTTGCTTGTTTGCTGGTTTATTGGTTTTTGTTTGTTTGTTTTTTTGCCAAAATCCAATCCAATTTTTGTTTTAGGTTCAAGTAGATTTGAATTTAATGTCTTCACCATGTGTTCAACTGGTGACACGACATTTGCTCCTGCGACAATTGCTCCGGGCTTTATTTCGTCTAAGATGTAGGGTTAGGGTTAGGGTTTCAATAGGGTTTTATGTTAGGTTTAGGGTTAGGTTTAGGGTAGGGTATAGTGTTGAATCCAGGGTTGAAGTTAGCCATTCGATTAGTGTATGAAATTTACAGCGGAGCAATTGTCGCCGGAGCAAATGTCATGGAATCGTTCAACTAATTGATTTTTATAACTGTTACCAAATGGCATTCATCATATTGTGTAAAAATTGTTTTACTACAAACCTCATAATCATATTGGGGTACATATTCATGTCTGTTCTTGACTACGCTTTGTCTCCTTTCACGAAACGCTGCATTCGGGTTATCTCTGCTCATTTTGGATTCAGTGTAAACCAGGTTCACACACTGCCATTACTGGATACATTATTTACACTTAGCCTTCAACACAGACCCAGGGATGGGCAGGCATCTGTCTAAATATTTTGTTTCTAATTAGTCTCTGGATTCAATTTATATCTTGAGCAGACTGGAAGAAGTCTGACTCTCTGACTCCTCTGTCTCTCTGAAATGTCTCTAGCCTAGGGAGAGGTTTTTGTCACAATTAGAAGTCAGAGATAAATGTTAAAGGCGTATATTTCAGTTTAATTTAATTTGATAGAGTCATGCAAAAACAATATCCACACTACTCATCGAGAATGGATCCATCAATAAATCATTATTAGGGGTGGAGCACTGTCTGCTGCATTCATTAGGCCCATTTATAAAAAGCCCTAGAACCATTATGAAAATATTTTTTTATTTTTTAAACTGCCATTTTACACTGATGGAGAAACCCATGAGAAATCATTGTTGTTTAATAAGTCTGTTTTTGTTTTTTGAGAGTTGCGTGCATACGCCAGTTGTAGCTACTCTACATTCATTAGCAGGGAAGCAAGTCAGATGACCAAAACCCGGAAGGAGCATTCACTGGTGTTTCGAGAGCTAGCATTAACATTGCAAAAACCAAATAAATTTCTGCCAGCATTAAAAACAAAAACACTATAGAGGTGGGGTTTTTTGTCATGTTTATGCTTAGCAACAGTTTGCGTAGAAACACCATACAGAATGCAGAATGTAAAGAAAAACAACATTTAAAAAATTGTTTAAATTGCAGTGTATATGCAGCTTTTATGTAAATTATGACGTTTAAATGATTTTTTCTAATTTAATATGTATGGGTGCCCCATTAAATCATGTAAAATTTAAAGTAAGATCAAGCTTAGAAGTTAGAAGACCTTTTCCAAACCACATTGTTGCCAAAAGTTGAAGAGATTAAACATATTAATATGCCTTTGTGAAGTATATTACTTGTCTTCCAATTGAGAGAGGATTTTTTATTTTTCATCTTAATTTTTATTATTTGCGCATTATAGAATTATTTTGTGAGAGGGTAAAAAGTCAAGAAAATAGTAGACCTAATTATGAAAATAGATGTAGCAATAAGAATTTTACAAATACTGGAATCTCACGGTGTTATTACTTATTAGACATATAATTTAGGCCTATGCAGCACTCTATAAAGCAACATCTGTATCTGAATCTGTCTTGAATACAGTTGACTGCTTCTTAATAAATTGTAATACACCAAAGTCAAAATGTGGAAAATGGAAGTTAAATGCAGCAAGATTAGATATTGTTTGTGTGCGTTTGGTGTCGCCAATGCCTTGTGTTGTACCATTTTAATCCGGAGCTGTAGGCAGATCAAACGTGATAAATCCCTGGGTTTGATGGCAGGTCACGACCCTACCAGACATTTTACCTGCTCCTGAGAGTACCGCAGAATGTGTT